ATAGTTGTCTTGGTCTATGAGATTCCGTTTCACTCTTTTTGTCCTTTCCGCAACTTTTTCATGTACATTTTAGTTGAAGCACAAGCGGCTTTGCTTTCGTTCTTAGTGTGCAGTTTTGAAGCACCTACACAGCCACTGGTTTGCCCCACACTTTAATTCCCCTTTAACCACGAATTCCGTAATAAACTTGGGCGGTGAAAAATTTTGCCATTGGGCGGCCTCACAGGAAAGCCCTACCGACAAAATTATAACACTGCTGCCGAGAAGAAGAGAAGCACTGAGATAAACTGAACTACACACAGAAAGGTCCGATGAAGCGAAGGATGAAAATGGAGGACGCAAGTTTTAATTAAGGCGAATACTCAACCATAATATGCCCCACTCAGCGGGCTACATTAATAACCAAGCGATAGTTGAGAAACTTCCACATGGAAAATCCTTGTCGAATTAAGCTGACTAAACAGACAAAGAATTGGGGATAGATTCGGGAACAAGTCCACAAGATCCACCTGATAGGCGATTAATCTTAAATGCACAAACGCTGGGAGGAACCCCGCAAACCATTAACAAACAAAAATATCGGAAATACAGACAGCTATAGTTTCGGAGGTGCAGGTATTTCGGTGGGTCCCAGAGAGTCTTCGGAAATAGTAAGTCAATTTACGCGACTGACTGAGGTCGCGGCCACCTCCATTGCACTTTACGCGAGCTCCTTCGATGTGCAGCAATGGAAGCTGCCTAAGGAAGTGAAGTTTTGCCTGTAAACGCAAACCTTGGAACTTCTTAAAAGCCTACATTTATTGTGAAAGCTAAGCTTAATTTGGTTAAAGTCGCCCTATAAAAAATATAGTTTGGCACTGACTAGAAGATAATTTTTTGTCTAAAGTAGTTTCTAAAAGAAAGCGAGCTTAGGCTGTTGCATTTGTGGAGTTGCTTGTCCTGACATGCAACCTGCTCTTCTACAAGTAAACTTTACTCCATTCGCACGACTTCCCGCATTTTCTGCAGTTCCGTTTTTTTTTAATTTGTT